CCCGTCTGAGCCTCTGGGGCTTAACTTCAACTCTGCAAAAACTTCATGCCATTAAAAACCCGCTGGGTTAGGGTGTTTAGGGCTTTGCACGCCCAAGCTCAAGGGTTACGTCTCGGACCTCTATAACGTTGTACCCCAACACCTTCCCTTCATATACTCCTAGGAGCTCCCCTTAATATACTCCGAATATGGGCCAGGGTAGAGTCCCTTGAAAAGCCCTAAACCCAAGTCGAAGCGTTTCGACAGATGTTTTCCTGCGCCTCGCGTCTTGGAGCTGGGCTGCTGGCAAAGACCCCGCCGCCACCGTTGCATGACGGGGTTTCAGAATGCGCGTGTGAGCGTTTTCCTGGTCTGTGCATCCTACCCAGGAACCCAATGCATCTTTCTAAGGTGCACGCCCAGGAGTGCCCTCATCTCCCTTTTGGGTTTGCATCCTTCATAACCGAAGTCCCCAAGTAAGCTGGTACCTGTTATCTCCCGGGTGCCCCTTGTGCTCCCAGCTAAAAGCAGCAACACTAGACAGGTACTATGCGGTAATCTTCACGAGCTATCGGACGAACGTGCAGACCGACTACAGCGACACGGCCAAGAGGACGGCAGTGGTTCAGAGGGGAGTCCAGGCCTTGAAACCCTTAACACTTAAGCCCCTAAACCCTTAAGCCCTTACACCCTTCAGCCCTTAAACCCTTAAACCAATGCACTCTTTAGCCCTTAAACTCTTAAACCCTAAACTGTGAACCCTAAACTCTTGAGGAGTGGCTCTCCGCGAACCTTCAAGCGCCCTAAACCCTGAGCATACCCTGTAAAAAGTTTGGGAGGGCCTGATTTAAGCTGCTTGATGGGTAGAGGGTTCAGGGTTTCGGGCTTCGGGGCTTGAAGTTTAGGGCTTGGGGGCGCTTCCAGGTGGGCCCTTGGGATATGTCAATGCTTTCCCATTTTGAGTTTAGCCTTTATTGCGGGGGGGGGGGGGGGGGGGGGGGGGGGGGGGGCTTTAGGCTTTAGGGTTTAGGGTTTAGGGTTTAGGGACATGACATATTTTCCCTCACTGGAGAAGACCATCTTAAGGAGAGAGGGTTAAGGCTCAAAACCCTCAACCCCCACATCGTAAACAAGCCCATAACGCCCATAACGCTAAACCCGAAACCCGGAACCCGAAACCCGAAACCCTAAACCCTGAACCCTAAAGCCTAAACCCTCAACCAGGAGGCTCTGAGGCTCCGAGTCCCTAACGCCAGAAGGCCCCAACAAGGTCCAGGAGGCCCAAAAGGTGCCAAGAAGCCACAACAGGCCCCCCCCCCCCAAAAAAAAAAAAAAAAACAAAGGCCCCGGGCCTCCCGCGAGGCTCGCCCCTGCCAGCCCCCCGCCCTTCCCAAAAATAAAAATGTGGTTCCAAAAAAACTTTCGCTCAAAACTTTCGCTCAAAACGTTTCGGTCAAAACGTTATTGGGACCCAAACCCTATACAATTTCCACAAACCCTAAACCCTAAACCCTAAACTGCGAGCAAGGCCCCTGATTAGCTGCCGGCAAGGCAGCGGGCCGCAGCGAGCCCGCCGAGCCTCTAGCGACGGCAGCCGACAACTGAGTAGCGACAGTCTAGCAGTTGGAGGCAGATGCTCTCTTTAGTGCCAGAAGAGTTAGCTTCTGGCACCGTAACGCACTCCTCACAGCTTTGAAAGAGGGAACAGGGCGTACAGCCCTAAAGCATATTGTATTACCCTAAAGCCTAGACCCCCATCCTTCCCAATTTAAAAATTAGGATTTAGGATTTAGGATTTAGGATTTAGGATTTAGGATTTAGGATTTAGGATTTAGGATTTAGGATTTAGGATTTAGGATTTAGGATTTAGGATTTAGGATTTAGGATTTAGGATTTAGGATTTAGGATTTAGGATTTAGGATAGGATGTAGGATTTAGGATTTAGGATTTAGGATTTAGCATTTAGGATTTAGGATTTAGGACATCCTAATTCGAGCCTACAAGCCTCCCGGAAGCTTCCCACTGCTTTTTGAAGGTCCCCAGAGCTCCTTCGAAAGCTTTTCAAGCTGCTTGGGAGCCTTTTAGGGACTTTTAAAGGGTCACCGGACCCCCGCGACCTTTTCACGGCCTAATTTTGGTCAAGGGGGGGTCGTATTTTTCCATTTTCGAAGCAATTTAGTATTCGGAGGCCCCCCTTGCTCAAAACTCCGACCCCCCCTTGAGAGGGAAAGTTTGCCTCCAAAAACACCCCAAATGAGGGGGGACCCCAGGATCGGCCCGGGCCCCAGTTAAAAATGCGATTTTTTGGTACTGAAATCGACGGTTCTGGGAGGGCTCTCGTTTTCTGGATTTTTGGCCAAGACCGAGCCTTCACTAGGATTGGCATGGATCCCAAAGCTTAATTCGAGCCTACAAGCCTCCTGGAAGCCTCCCAGTGCTTTTTGAAGGTCCCAGAGCTCCTTCGAAAGCTTTTCAAGCTGCTGGAGCCTTTTAAGGACTTCCGGACCCCCGCGACCTTTTCACGGCCTAATGTTGGTCAAGGGGGGGTCGTATTTTTCCATTTTCAAAGCAATTTAGTATTCGGAGACCCCCCTTGCTCAAAACTCCGACCCCCCCTTGAGAGGGAAAGTTTGCCTCCAAAAACACCCCAAATGAGGGGGACCCCAGGATCGGCCCGGGCCCCAGTTAAAAATGCGATTTTTTAGTACTGAAATCGACGGTTCTGGGAGGGCTCTCGTTTTCTGGATTTTTGGCCAAGACCGAGCCTTCACTAGGATTGGCATGGATCCCAAAGCTTAATTCGAGCCTACAAGCCTCCTGGAAGCCTCCCAGTGCTTTTTGAAGGTCCCCAGAGCTGCTTCGAAAGCTTTTCAAGCTGCTTGGGAGCCTTTTAGGGACTTCCAAAGGGTCACCGGACCCCCGCGACCTTTTCACGGCTTAATTTTGGTCAAGGGGGGGTCGTATTTTTCCATTTTCGAAGCAATTTAGTATTCGGAGACCCCCCTTGCTCAAAACTCCGACCCCCCCTTGAGAGGGAAAGTTTGCCTCCAAAAACACCCCAAATGAGGGGGGACCCCAGGATCGGCCCGGGCCCCAGTTAAAAATGCGATTTTTTAGTACTGAAATCGACGGTTCTGGGAGGGCTCTCGATTTAGGATTTTGGATTTTGGATTTAGGATTTAGGATTTAGGATTTAGGGTTTAGGATTTAGGATTTAGGATTTAGGGTTTAGGGTTTAGGATTTAGGATAGAGCGTTTAGGATAGGATTTAGGATTTAGGATTTAGGATTTAGGATTTAGGATTTAGGTTAGGATTTAGGATTTAGGATTTAGGATTTAGGATTTAGGATTTAGGATTTAGGATTTAGGATTTAGGATTTAGGATTTAGGATTTAGGATTTAGGATTTAGGATTTAGGATTTAGGCTTTAGGATTTAGGATTTAGGCTTTAGGCTTTAGGATTTAGGATGTAGGGTTTAGGGTTTAGGATTTAGGATTTAGGATTCCAGATTTAGGATTTAGGGTTTAGGATTTAGGATTTAGGATTTAGGATTTAGTATTTAGGATTTAGGATTCAGGATTCAGGATTCAGGATTTAGGATTTAGGATTCAGGATTTAGGATTTAGGATTTAGGATTTAGGATTTAGGATTTAGGATTTAGGATTTAGGATTTAGGATTTAGGATTTAGGATTTAGGGTCCCCGGCTCCTCCCGGACCATTTTTGGGCTCCCGGACAGTTTCTGTTTTCCCGGACAGTTTCTGAGCCTTTTGGGCTCCTCCCGGACAGTTTCTGAGCCTTTTTTTGGGCTCCTCCCGAAGTTTCTGTGCCTTTTTGGGCTCCTCCCGGTTTATAGGCTCCTCCCGACAGTTTCTGAGCTTTTTGGGCTTCTCCCGGACAGTTTCTAAGCCTTGTTGGGCTCCGGACAGTTAAAACCATCGATTTCAATGCTAAAAAATTGCACTTTCCATTGCGGGCCAGGGCAGATCCTGAGCCCCTTTCTTTAGTGACCAACACCATCGATTTCTGTACTAAAAAAAGCATTTTTCTTTGCGGGCCCGAGCAAATCCTGGAGGTCCCCTTCTTCTAGGGGGCCTGTTGAAGCCTTTGGCACTCTTGGCCCTTTTGGGGTAAAGCATTTCTGATTTTCTTCAGATATCCACTACAGCAGAGAACACAAAAGCAACGAGAGAACAAGAAGCCTTCCTGTACACAGCGGCGCCACGGAGTGCAGTGACCACGAGCGATGGCGCCGCGGCCCCGAGCGCGGAATCGGTGCTCCCAGCCGGGCCTACTCGGGGTGCCCAAAACCATCGATTTCTGTACTAAAAAACATTTTTCATTGCGGGCCCGGGCTAATCCTGGAGGTCCTTTTTTGGGGGGCCTTTTGAAGCCTTTTGGTGGCTCTTGGGGCCTCGTGGATGCTTTCTGGTACTCTTGTGGCTCTTTTGGGGTAAAACGTTTCTGATTTTATTCAGATATCCACTAGGGCAGAGAATACAAAAGCAGCGAGAGAACAAGAAGCGTTCTTGTACACAGCGGCGCCACGGAGCGCAGTGACAACGAGCGATGGCGCCGCGGCCCCGAGCGCGGAATCGGTGCTCCCAGCCGGGCCTACTCGGGCGTGAAAACACAACATATAAGCAGACTGTTGCCCCCTGCTTTACTTTTCCTTTTGATTGAGATTAAAACAACCCACAACTACAGCAGAGAATACAAAGCAACGAGAGTACTATCAAAAAAAAACCCTAAACCCTAACAGAGTAAGGTTTGGGTGGTCTTGGGGTGGGGCTTTAGCTTTCGCGCGACGCGCCGCCCACGACCCCTTGGGTCGAGGCGCGTCGCTTCAGTGGGCAAACCCTAAACCCTAAACCCTAAACCCTAAACCTAAACCCTAAACCTAACCCTAAACCCTAAACCCTAACCCTAAACCCGAAACCCCAAAAACCCTAAAACCCTACACACACTAAACCCTAACACCCAATACACCCTAAGCCAACCTCGCCATGGTGACGCGGAGGATGGTCGAGCTCGCTTCTCAGCAGCAAGGCTTCCTGGGTGTGGAGTCTGCGAGAGAAGAGGCCAAAGGGCTGATTTAGGGTTTAGGGATTTAGGGGTTTAGGGTTTAAGGCTTAGGGTTTAGGGTTTAGGGTTTAGGGTTTAGGGTTTAGGGTTTAGGGCTTCGCAGAGCCTCGGGACCTGAATATTCTTTGGGAGTGAAGCGTTTTGGGCTGGGAGTTCAGGTGTCCCAACCCCCGGGTACATCTCCAAACGCCATGAAAATGAAATCCACATCCTAGGCCCTAACAGCCCAAACACCCTAAACCCTTAACCCCCAACCCTGAGCCCTCAACCCTGAACCCTGAACCCTAAACCCTAAACCCTAAACCCTAAACCCTAAACCCTAAACCCTAAACCCTAAACCCTAAACCCCAGAGGCGGGCATCACTGTGAGCTACTGGGAGAGCTTAGAGGCGATCCGGGCCTGGAAAAAAGAGGCGGAGCACACACTGGCGCAGGATCCTCGGCACTCAGATGAGACTACACGGGGGCAGTTGGGTTTTTTTTGACCCTAAACCCTAAACCCTAAACCCTAAACCCTAAACCCTAAACCCTAAACCCTAAACCCTAAACCCTAAACCCTAAACCCTAAACCCTAAACCCTAAACCCTAAACCCTAAACCCTAAAACCCTAAAACCCTAAAGCCTAAACCCTAAGCCCGGAATCCTAAACCCAAAACGCCTTAGGCCCCAAACCTGGATCTTTTGGAGCTTCAGGGCTTTTAGGGTTGGTAGCCCCAGTGGTGCCCTTTTCCCCTTTGTTCTTGGTTCAAGGTTCCCTGTCCCTAAACCCGAAACCGTAAACCCAGACCCTAAACCCTCAATCCTCAACCCTAAACTAGCTCAGTGGTGCCCTTTTGCCTTTTGTTTGGTTCAACGTTCCCGTATAAAGCAACCAATCCAACCCCCATTATGATGTGATCCTTGGGCTATCAAGCAGGTTTCTTTGGGGCTTTAGGTCTTTTGGGTTTAGGTTTAGGTGTTTTTAGGGCTTTAGGGTTTAGGGCCTTTTGTGTTTGGGGGGTTTGGGGGTTTAGGGCTTTTGGGGCTGTAGGGGTTTTAGCGTTTTAGGGTTTTAGGGTTTGGGGGTTTGGGTTTTTTGGGGCTGTAGGGCTTCAGGGGTTTAGGGTTGTAGGCTTGCCCTTGCCAAGGAGCGCGGGAAGAGAGAGTGGTACCACTGCTACGCCACGCGCATTGCACGTGTGGAGCGCGACTACACCTTCCACAAGCCGTAAGGGTCCACCTGGTAAAAGGGGCTTAGGGTTCAGGGTTTCGGATTTAGGGTTTAGGGTTTAGGGTGCTTAGCCAAAGGATCCATATCTGTTCAAGCAAAGTCGACACCGCGACCCAAAATATAGGCTGATAGTAGACGGATCAGGGTTTGGGGTTTAGGGTTTAGGGTTTCCCATGAGGTACGGTGGCAGCACTGGATAAGACACCTCTAACAGTTGGCGAGGGTATCGTGGATTTCTGACTTATGAGTTTTACCCAAATTTCCGGAATTATCACCTTCAGAGGGTACCCTTGATTTCTGTATCTATTTGTCTACTGGGATTCGAGCTGATAATCTTTGCATGAATACGGCGACGCCTTATCCATTTGCCTGATCGCTTGATTTCTTACTTGGGCGGTCCCCTGCCCAAATAAGACATCCAGACCCCGCCCCCCCCCCCGCCTCCGCTGAAATAAGAATTCCAGCCCGATGTTTAGGAAATTGGGGGGCTGGAATTCTTAGATTCAAGAAGTTGCCTGGCTGGGTTTCTTCTTTGAGGAAGGGGGGGGAGGGGCGAGGGGGGGGAAGGTGGGGGGGTGGGGAACCCTAAACCTTGTATACATCGGGCGGGTTCTGTGCCTGGATCTGTGGATTGCGGTCTTGAAGCCTAAAACCTTAGGGTTTAGGGTTTAGGGTTTAGGGTTTGCGGCGGCTTAGGGCTTACGGCTTAGGGTTGAGTAATCTTAAGAAGGCCTGTGAACTGTTTTCGCATGAAAACCCTCGAAAACCAGAAAAACCAAAAAGTCTAGAACGATGAAAACTAAAACAACTCAAAACCAAAAAATCTGCAAACAAACAAGAAAAGCAATTTCATGGGAAAACGAATAAAAAATCATCACTTCCCAATGCTTCGCCAACAATACTTGAAAACCTTTTGAGAAAGTTGGGCAAACTTGTTTGATTTTCTGTGTTTTTTGAAAACCAGAAAATCTGAACTTAAAGCGGCGTTTTAAGTTCAGAAACGAAGGTTTTAAGTTCAGAAATAAAGGTTTTAAGTCAGAAACCAAGGTTTTAAGTTCGGATTTGACATTTTTCAATTCTGCTAAATATTCTGACCAAAATGGTTTGAAGATTTTTGGTGGAAACGGTTTAAGAGTGTTTTTTTCAGCATTGGCTACTAACAGGCTATTAAAATGCAACCTCACAGCCCCCAAAACCACAGGCCTCTTGAAATCACTCAAGTTTAGGGTTTAGGGTTTAGGGTTTAGGGTTTAGGGTTCAGGGTTCAGGGTTCAGGGTTCAGGGTTCAGGGTTCAGGGTTCAGGGTTTAGGTTTCTAAACTCAGGGTTTAGAGTGTAGACTTTGAGGGCTTAGGGTTTAGGGCTAAAGCCCTGTACCGGTGCCCTGAGCGCTGAACTCATAGCCCTCTGGATACCCCTCTGTGTCTCCACCTTAGGGTTTGGGGTTTAGGAAGTTTAGGGTTTGGGGTTTAGGGTTTAGGATTCACCGGTTGGGGTTTCGGGTTGTAGCTTGTGGGTTGAGGGGTGCGACAACTTCGGCAGGAAGCGCGCGTGTGTGTGCAAAAGCAGGCAACTTGCATGGGGTCTAGGGTTTAATGTTTAGCAAGCCTACAAACCTCCAAAACCCCGCCTCCCCCAGAAAAGACATAAACTAAACTGGTTTTTGCAACCCCTTTACACAACTTGTTCTGGTAGCAAGTCAACTAAAAATCAACTACGTATGCCTAGTAAAGAATAAGTCGAGTACAGCCCTAAACCCGAAACCCTAAACCCTAAATTGCTCAAAAAACAGATGGCTCTTGCAAGCCCATTTTAGGAGGAAAGCTTCTTAGGCTTCATCTGAGACACGGGCTTGTCTTTTCAAGGGGTTTAGGGTTTAGGGCCTGGGTTCTGAGTTTAGGGTTTAGGGTTTGGGCTTTGGGGTTTAGGGTTTAGGCAGCCTCATCGTCGCTCCTTACCTTCCTTAATGGGTTCTGAAGTATGGGGCCCTAGGATTTATATAGGGTATCTAAGGGGTACACAGTAAGAGGGGTCCCCATTTAAGGGCCCGTATGAAGGCACCGCGTAACTACCTTAGGGTTCAGGGCAATCAGTGCTTGGGTGGCGTTGGAGCTGCGATTTAGGATTTAGGATTTAGGATTTAGGGTTTAGGGTTTAGGGTTTAGGGTTTTTCCCCTAACAGCTAGAAACCCTTAACATTCCTTCCAATCCTTGGTAGCCCAGTGGTACCCATTGTTTGTTTTTTTGGTTTCTCAATTTGTTGGTTCTAGGTTCCCGTTTTAAGTAACCAACCCCAAGAAGGGTACCCTTATCATAATATGGGCTACCAAAAATCCTTTATGACCTTTAAAGCCCCTAGAGCCCTCAAACAATGTAAACTCTAGAGGCTAGACCGTAAAAAAGAACAAACCCTTAAGCCCTAAGAGCCTAAACCTTACACCCTAAACTCTAAACCCTAAACCCTAAACTCTAAACCCTAAACCCTAAACCCGGAACTCTACACCCCAAAGCCTGAAAGCTCAGTTGCTCAGCGATGCCGACAGATTGACCCAGCCCAAACCGTGAAACCCCGAAGAACCTAAAACCCTACAAGCTCTAAATGCCTAAACCCTAAACTCTAAACCCTAAACCCTAAACCCTAGACTACCCCCCCCCCCCCCCCCCCCCCCCTAAACCTCCCTGGTAAGGTCACGCACTCGCCCCCGGAGCTTCTGCAGCACCCTCGCGCGGCTACCTCCTGGGTCCAGTCTCAGGCAGCCGCTCGTGCCCAACCTGTTGGGTTTTGGGTTAAGGGTTTAGGGTTTAGGATTTAGGGTTTAGGGTTTCGGGTTTTGGGTTTAGGGTTTAGGGTGACACTATTGCGCCCCTTGGCGCACAGTCCAAATCCAAAGTACCTGAAGCTGTGTCCAAAAATTGCTTCAAGGGCTGGGGTTGAGGGTTAAGGGCATACCGTCCCCTCCCCCCCCCCCCCCCCCCCCCCCCCCCAAACAAAAAAAACGAAAACATAAACAAACACAAAAACTTAAACCAATCAAAAACCCTAAACCCTAAATCCCCACCCAACCTGCTCAGGCCACACCCACCCCTTCTAGCCTGGACCCAGAGCAGCAGGGGCGAATCCTTGCCTTGAGCTGGGGACCTTGTCCCTTTCTGTGAAAACCTAACCCCTAAACCCTAAGCCCTAAACCCGAAACCCTAAACCCGAAACCTGAACCCTGAACCCTAAACCCTGAACCCTGAACCCTAACTCACTCTGTCTTTGAGAGTGAAAGAAGGCGTGAAGATGAATGGATCCCTGCGCTTACTACAGAAACAAGCATGCCGCTCTTGCCTGTTGGTATTTCACGGCAACAAATTCTGTGGCTGGTTGCCCTTTGTTGTTTTTGTGAGGACCCCTCAAGGCTCCTGGAGTTTACGGCTTCTCGAACCCTAAACCCGAATCCCTAAACCTTAAACCCAAAACCCTAAAACCCTTCCGGGTTTTAAGAGCTCAGGCGAAGGATCCCGGCTTCAAGCACATCTACACCCTGGCGCCTTGCATGAAGCTGGCTGTCGGCGAACCGTAGTTCGGTTTCTCAGGGTTCAGGCTTTTCGAATCGGCTTTAAGGGTTTAAGGATTGAAGGGTTTCATGATTTAAGGGCCCAATGGTTTCAGGGTTTAAGGGTTCAAGGGTTCACGAGTTGAAGGTTGTAAGAGTTCAAGGGTTCAAGGGTGTAAGGGTTTAAGGAATTTCGGGTCTACGGGTCAACCCTAAAGCACTCAAGGCTGGTTTTTTTGGCTCAGGATGGACTGTAAGATGATTCTAAGACTTGTGATTCCAGGAGCGTTTCACAGCCTACATATTCAGGACAGCCGCGTTGCAGCCGGTTGACCTCAACTCCACGACATCAAGAGAAGTATTGGATTTAGGACTTGGGGTTTTTAGGATGTAGGTTCATCCAACACCCCAGAAACCGACTGCACAGGAATTCAATGCTGGCGGGGGGTTTGTGAATTGTAAGGATCAACGTGTAGGTACCTTCAGGGATAGTACCCCAAGAACGGACCCCTGATCGGACTAAACCCTAAACCCTAAACCCTAAACCCTAAACCCTAAACCCTAAACCCTAAACCCTAAACCCTAAACCGTCTGGGGCTTAGGGTGTCGGGTTCGGAGCCATTCGAAGCTGACAGTCCCTGTGGGCCTTCATTTAAAGCACAAACCTATAAGCCCAACGCCAGCAAGAAGGGTTTCTAGAGTTTAGAGATAGGGTTAGGGTTTAGGGTTTAGGGTTGAGGGTTGAGGGTTGAGGGTTTAGGGTTTAGAGTTTAGGGTTGAGGGGGTTAGGTGACGCTCTAAGCGCGCTTTGCCCGGTTTCAGGCCTTCAGTGTTCTTTTGGGTGGGGTTCCGGAATCCGCCCGAATGGCACCCTGAATCCCAAAGCTGCTTCAGGGATCTGTGCTAAACCCCTAAGTGCAATGAAACATCAACCCCAAAAGCCTAGACCCTAAACCTAAACCTCAGAACCCGTAAACCCAAACCTTTGGCCCAATTTGGTGGTTCAAGGTTCCCTAGCAAAGAAGTCTACCCCCAACGGGGTATCCTGGGGTACCCTTTTCATTATATGCTTGCTGGGCCCTAAACCCGAAACCCTCAACCCTAAACCTTAAAACTTAAAACGCATAACCCTAGTGTTTGATCGGCCAACACCCACCTCTTGCTCAGGCCGGACGAAACCCCAGTAGGCTGGTGAGTGGGGAGTTCTCTTTTTTTGGAAAATGCGGGGGGGGGGGGGGGGGGGGGGGGGGGGGGGGGGGTTGGGGTGGGGGTGGCATGGTGTAGGGTTTAGGGTTGAGGGTTTCCCTTGGCTGTTTGGTCAAGGGGGCTGCTTCAGGGCTTCGAGTTGTTGTTTTAAGGCTCTTGACGTTTGGGGCCTTTTCGGATGCTCGGGTGCAAACGGAGTGCCGGGGTTTGCTGCGCGCTGCTGCCTGTCTTTCAGTTGAACCCGAAGGCCCCAACCC